TATATATATGAGAAAAATGTGTATGATTGGTACCAAGCATAAAAAGTTATGCTTGGTAGTGATGTGACATAATCCCCATCACCCATTCAAATAGTTGCATATCTCCATGCACTTCTCAACCCATATGAATGTGGTCCCCATTTGAATGAGTGGAGGGGATTGTGTCACCTCACTACCAAGCAAAAAATTTATGTTTGGTACCAAACATACCCATCTTTCTCTCTCTGATTGGTACCAAGCATAAAAAGTTATGTTTGGTAGTGATGTGACATAATCCCCATCACACATTCAAATAGTTGCATATCTCCATGCACTTCTCAACCCATGTGAATGTGGTCCCCCATTTGAATGAGTGGAAGGGATTGTGTCACCTCACTACCAAGCAAAAAATTTATGTTTCTTATCCATATAGAGAGAGAGAGAGCAAAACTTCTGTCAACTTAAGTGGACGTCCACTAAGTTTCTTATCTATTGATGATTACTAGATTGAGCAACATTGTGGATGATCCGTTCCGTTGAACTTGATCTACATATCCTAAAACCCCAACACACCAAATTTTGGGTGAACCCGTCGTAGTTTGACCATTCATCCACTCGTATCAATTTTAACGGTTTCGAATGAATAGAACTTTTTACATGGCTCGACGGAGGGTCAAACCACAACGGGTTCACCCTAAATTTGGTGTGTTGGGGTTTTAGAATATGTAGATCAAGTTTAACGGAGCGGATCATCCACAATGTAGCTCAATCAAGTGATCATCAATGACTAAGAACCTTAGTGGACGTCCACTTAAGTTGACATAAGTTTCTCTCTCTCTCTCTCTCTCTTCTTATATTATTCATATTATATATTATATTTATATATATATTATATATATATTATATATATATATATATATATCTTAATATATATATAATATATTATATATTATATATATATATATATATTATATAGGAGAGGTCTAATAACAACCTCTTAGCCTAAAAACTTAAAAACAATACCAGTCATATGGTCTAGGATTCAGTCAAACAGTCAACCAGACACTAAATGCATTAATTACCTCTATTAAACATCATGCATAATTACCTTCAACGCAGTGAATCCAAGTATTCATTAACCTCAAGAACACGTCCTTCACTTGCAGTGATCCAGTCCTGCAGTGAATCCAATTCACTTGCAGTGAATCCAGATTTCACTGCCAGTGATCCAAATTCTTACTCAACCGAACAGTTTTTCACTGAGTATCCAGATGGTGTTCGTTGAGGTAATTATGCATTGTGGTCTGTTGACTGTTTTGACTGACTCTCAAGCCATTGCCGAATTATCTAGGTCTAATGGATTTATATTGAGTTTTTAAGTTTTTAGATTAATGAGGTTTTTATTAGAACCCCTCTCTCTCTCTTTCTACTATTAATAAGATTAGTATATTATATATATATAAAAGATGTAATGTCTGTATTTTTAAACAAGGAGGGTTCCTTCCTTGACAATGATGTGACGCAATCCCCACAATGTGAAATTCTCTCTTCTATTTTATTCTCTCCTTCACATGGTGGGGATTGCGCCACATCATTGTCAAAGAGGAAAATCCCCTCATTATCAAAGATATCCATTAATCTCTATCTCTCTCTATATATAGATTAACATCCCGCGAATAAAATTAGCCGGAATCTCTTAAGGTGCGAATTCTTTTTAATGGCATGTTTGGATGGAGGGTAGAGAATAGAAGGGGAAGGAAATTTTTGATTTATTTTTGTTTGGGAGTTCCATTTAGAAAGATAGAGGAGGAGAATGAATGAGAAAATTTAACTAAAATTCTACCACCCAAACTGGGGGTAAAATCATCTCCCAATCACACCATAAGTTTTAATAGTAATTTCTTTATTTTTCTTCCTAAAAGCTAGGGTTTCCAACAAAAAGTTCCCCAAATCCTTTTCCTTCATCGATTTCTTCTTCTTTACCCTCTCAACTCACCATCCTCTTCTGAAAAACACCAAACTTGAAGGGCAAGGAGAAGTTTTTATAGTTTTTTTTTCTTTTTCAAGGAAATTTTTGGGGGCTATCCATCTCTGGTTGGTTTCTCTCCTTTTTATGGCATTTGAATGCCAAGAATCATTTCATTTGGTACCAAGCAATTCAATTATTGTATCCTCTCTAAGTTCTGATCTTTCCTGCGTTTTGAGGCCAAATTTCCCTCAAAAAACCCTAAAGAAGCAAACTTTACCAAACCCTAAAGAAGAAGATAACGGTGGCGGCGGTGGCGATTCTGGTTCCAATGGCCGAAGATTGATTACTGATCTCCCGGCTGCCTTGGTCTCTGAAATCTTCCATTGCCTCGACGCCAAAGATTTAGGGATTGTAGCTTGTGTATCAACACTCCTCAACAATCTAGCCACCAATCACTTGGGGTGGAAGAAGTTCTATTTCGAGAGATGGGGACCACCGTCGAGCCCATCTCCCGATTCGGGCAAATCATGGAACGAGCTGTTTGTCGAGAGGCAGCTCAAGAGCAAATGCTTCATGGGTCGGTACACTATGGACATCCTTCATGGAGTTTGCGGCAATACGGAGGTGAAAGCTGTTCGGGCTGTTTTCCTCTTGAAAACATCAAAGCTGATATTTACTTCGGGCTACGATTCGATTGTGAGAATGTGGGGTATGGAGGATGGGATTTTGATTGCTGGGTCTCGCCCGCTAGGGTGCACGATTCGGGCTATAGTAGCAGATGATGATATGTTGCTTGCTGGTGGTGATGGATTCATTCAGGGTTGGAGGGCAATTGAAGGAAACCCACATTGTTTTGATCTCACGGGTAATAATGAGCTCAGGATACGGGGTCATGAAGGGCCGATTACTTGCCTAGGATTGGACTCACAAAGAATTTTCAGTGGTTCATGGGATATGAGTATTCGTATTTGGAGTAGAACAAGCTTGAAGTGCTTGAAGAAGCTGATGCATGTTGATTGGGTTTGGTCCTTAGCCCCTTGTGGCTCTACTGTGGCTAGTACAGCTGGTAGTCATGCCTATGTTTGGGATATCGAAAGTGGAGAGCTTGTGGATCTTGTGCGCAATGCTCACATGGGCAAAGCTACTTCTGTTGCTCGAAGTTTCTTGGGGGATCTTTTGTTTACCGGTGGGCAAGACGGTGCTATTCACATGTTTGAGGTTAGGAGTTCAACATCAGTTGATGGAATCCGGATGATTGCGACATGGAAACCTCACACGGATCATGTTAACTCTCTTGCGTTTGAGTTCCCGTGGCTTGTTTCTGCTTCTAGTGATGGAAGATTGGCTTTGATCAATGTGAGAAATTTTCTTCAATGTTCAAGAGCTAAGAAGTCAGTATTGTGCGCTGTTGAGCCCCCTCAGAGAATGCTTCATGGATTTGGGAAAGATTTATATTCCATTGCTGTTGGTGCTGATAGGATTATATGCGGGGGTGAAGAGGGTGTAGTTAGGGTTTGGAACTTTTCACAAGCTCTGGAGGCTGCAAAGAGAGCTCAGAATTTAAGGAGTATTCGATTGGAGAATAGAATGAGGCGTAGGAAAGCACAGATTGAGTTGAATGCTAAGAGCGGGCGACCTGATCAGAGCTTGGCATCGCCAAAGAAGACTCAGATGAGCGGGAGCAGAAACGGGATTTGGAAGGGGAAGCAGCGTGACAGGAAGAACTGATCCGACTTTGGGTAATGAACGAAAATTTAAATTAAGGGTTACTTCTTTGATTGTGTAGCATTGATTTTAGGAGCTTGTTATTTGAGTTTGCATAGTTATACTCATATTTATGCATGGAAGTCTTTTTTCTTGAAAGCCAGTGTTTCTACCTACCTACATGTATGAAAATCATTTGATTGAGCAGTTATATATCTGTTTTGTTCTCTATAAGCATAATTCAATGGAGGCAATTAGCATTTCTCTGCAACTTGTAGTGTCCTTTCTGGTCAAAATCTAGATGCGCAATGTGAATACTTGTGCTCTCAGATACCATCTGCTTATTTATATTCTAATTGACATTTGCTTTCATACTTTATGTATCACGAATTTAACATATATGTTAGTTGGAATCTACTCATTGGTGCTTGAAAGCGCATTTAGACTCACTTTTTGAAAAGTACATCAGTATTGAAACTTTTGTGGAAATACTGTTCAGCAAGTATGCTACCAAAGCTCCTACTTACACCGTAACTATTTAGTTGTGGTTCAAGTTATCGAACCTGATGGCATATCATAGTTAGTCACAGAATCTGTGACAATGAGCGGTTGGCAGAGTGGTAACTTAAAAGTTTACTTGAAAGTTGAGGGAAGGATAAACAGGCAAATATGATCGTTCAGGTAGCAAATCTAAAAGCATGATAGGTATTGGAAAAAAAACCGTATCTTTAGACAAGATATACATAGCCGACTCACGTGTATGTATGTATTTAAGAAAATTTTCATGTCTGAGACTTGTGTTTGTGTCGGTGCCTGTAACCTCCATATGTGTCTACAAAGAGCTCTGATACTGAAGAACAAGCATGCGCTATATCATATAAATGTGAGCATGACCAGGTAGAACAACCTAATAAAGGATATGAAAGTTTGAAAACTGACGAGGCTGTCTATTGTAAATCGAATAAGTTCTAGCGAGAATAAAAAAAAATATAATCACTTAACGAGCCTTCCAATATCAAGATCAAAAGCTTTGAACTTCAATGCAAAGCGTCGAAGTATATTGCTGTGTTTGTTCATGTCAATTTGTGTGGGAGATGTTTCGAAACGCTAGCGAGAAGTTTCCCAAAATGAGAAAGAAAGTGATGCGGTCGGTTATACTGTTCTTCATCGCTGTCTTTTTGATATGTCGTATTTTTCTCGAATCATGATCTGAGGATGGAAACTGACTGCTGCATACTTGTTGCAAATATTCAGTCGATGACGCTTCTGAGATGAATAAAGTTTTTAGGAAAATAAAGTTTTTGGTTTTATATTGCATGTTTTGAGACATTATTGCTATGAAGTATCTGGTCATGGTAAAAAGGAAGTAAACATTGGAGAAGTTTCTGACGTACGAGTGAACGTAGAAGCAGCTGGAGGCTTCATTTCGTCTACCTTTGTTTTTATATCACTCGTTATGATTTTTCATGAGACATTAAGGGGCTGTTTGGATTTCTTTTTTTAATTTGTTTTTATTTTAAACCATTGAAAATCACTGTTGGCAGGAAAAACATCGGCACTAGGGGCACACCCCCAACCACATCCCAAACCACACCCCCTCTCTCATGTGCTACAGTATACCGGGCCCCACATGAGATTTTAAAATTTTAAAATCTCATGTGGGGCCCGGTGTACTGTAGCACATGAGAGAGGGGGTGTGGTTTGGGATGTGGTTGGGGGTGTGCCCCTATCATTTTTCAGGGAATCGCATGGAGGCAACCAAGTGGGATTTTTTAATTCCTAGTCACCCTCCAATTTAACCAAACAAGCACTGAGATACTCGAATAGGATTTAGGTCTGACAATGGTAAAATTGTAAATAAAGGGCTCTTTATGAATCCTATTCTTGAGTTTTGTTCCCCAGAAATTTATAGATTTCAGAATCTATATAGTTGAAAAAGTATGCTGATTTTATAGAAACCCAAATCCTAATGATTTGGGCGGATTTTATAGAAACCCAAATCCTAATGATTTGGGCGGATTTGGGGCAGAATCTATATAGTTGAAAAAATATGCTGATTTTTTTTGGATTCCGTTTCTTCACAAAACCTATATTATCATGAGACCAAATCCTATTCTCATTCCAAACCAAACTAAAGAATATGAATCAGAAGGTTTTTATAAAGTTGGATTCTATTTTTTCATGTTACGAAACAAACATAGAAATGAAAAAAAAAAGTATTCCATGACAACATAAAATTATCTTAATGGTTTTCGTTACGAATTTAATTGTTGTACTTAAAAATCGAATAATTCAACCAAACGAAGATGCCTCTCAACCAAGTAAAAGTATACGTATATCATCTCAATTAAAAGAAAAAGAAAAAAAAAAGAGATTTATACATAATATCCAGAGGATCGGATCCGCACCGAATCGGATCCGAGCTGGCGACTGGTCCGATAGAATGTTCCGCGGTCCACGAGTCAGCTTACGATTCACGCGACATCGGCTGGCCCTCTCTCTCTCTCTCGTTATTTAACCCAGCCTTGCGGTTTGAAGACGCCTCTCTCTCTCTCTCACGCCCAAGAAAGGAGAAGAAGGAATCGGTAAGATTACCACTCTCATCTCTCTCGATCTCTCGATCTTCGATCTTTTCGCTCTCGGATCTCAGGGTTTTGGATCGTCGCCAGGTCTTCTCGGGGATTTGGAAGGAGGATTAAAAGATGGGGCTGTCGTTCGGGAAGCTGTTCAGCAAACTGTTCGCGAAGAGGGAGATGAGGATCCTGATGGTGGGCCTCGACGCCGCCGGGAAGACCACCATCCTCTACAAGTTCAAGCTCGGCGAGATCGTCACCACCATCCCCACCATCGGTAAACCTCGTCCCCTCCCCATCCTGATCTTGCTTGAATTGAGGCGGTAAAAAAAAGAGCTCCTTTTTCCTGATTTAATATGCGATGTTGTGTTTTTTTTTTGGGACCTCTGTGTTGTGTCTGAGATCTGAGCTTGATTCACCTAGGAATAACCCCTGAATTATTATTACAGTAAAACCGGAAAAAAAAACTTGACCTAAAAGCGGCACCAGGTGTGCGATTGCGACCAAAAAAAGTACTTTAAAAAGGTGGTTTATGTATAAATTGAAAATAAAAGGCGGTTTCTATGGAATAACCCTATTGTAAAGGTGGTTCCTATGAGGAAACCCTGATGATAACAAAAACTTTAGATTTTTTTAAGCTTTATCTGATTTTCTTTAATTAGTTTTCTTCCTTGCTGAAGAACAAGACTCCGTTACTAAATTAATGATTACGTTAAAGGTTCCTTGGAAAATAAGGTATAGATGGAGAGTGTTTCTTGTAAATTGTAACTACCCCTTTATTTTCCATGTTGAGTTATCTAAGCCTACACAGTTTGCTATTTGAAAACCTTCAGTTATCCCTTGCAAGATGTTTGTGAGGATTCTATTTTTTACGAGTTCCTAATCTCAAATTGCGGATCTGATGGCTCTCTTGTTTATGAATAGCTTGAAGACATATACCTTTCTTGCATGCATCATCCTAATTAAGAGCCATTATCACTATAGTGATTTATTTTGATTTATTTATCGGTGATTCAGTATTTTATGATGTTCCACAGCATTAGCTGTTGCTTAGTTGGTGCCTATGTAATTTCTGATGTCTTTCTATATATTAGGTCTGAGAAAGTAGTATACAGGGCCTCCTAATGATTATTTATTTTCTCTTTCGTATATATTTATTTGAATTTTATTTTTATTAAGCTTTAATATTCTGTGCATCGTTCGAAGTTCGACCTGTTCTTTTTTTGAACAAGACCTCCCCTTTCTGGTTTGAGAAATTCCCCCTATTTTATTTTTGTTTTAGTAGAATTTCTATATTTTTCATCTCACTGCAGATTGGTTAAACTGTGTCGAGTTATGAAATTATGCTGCTATTATAAAAAGTGAAATTCACATTTTGATGCAGGATTCAATGTTGAGACTGTGGAGTACAAGAACATTAGCTTCACTGTGTGGGATGTTGGGGGTCAAGACAAGGTACACTTTATTTTTACTTACTTTATTTTATCATTGAAAACCAAAATCAAGAAAATACCTAGGCAGATGCACTTTCCTGTAAGTTGTTCCTGTAGTTATCCTATGCTTGGAAATACTTACAATCTTGCTAGTTGTATAATGTCATATTGTGTCGGTCACTTATTTCGTGAGAATATCCTATAAATATAATCATATATGAAAGGGAAGCAGATTATGCTCGTTATGAGCCTTGTCAGTGGCTAAATATTGTGAATTTTGTACGCCATTTGACTGACCTTGTGATTTCTCAAATAACAGATCAGACCTCTCTGGAGGCATTACTTCCAGAACACACAGGGTCTTATCTTTGTCGTTGACAGCAATGACAGAGATCGTGTTGTTGAGGCAAGAGATGAGCTTCACAGGATGCTAAACGAGGTATGTTGATTTTTTACAACAGTTTACATGTTGTTTGTTCATTAACTCTCTCTGAAACCCTGACATTTTAACAAATTTATATAATCATAGTAACCATTTAGATAATGCTAATTTGAAACATGAGGATGAAATGACCTATCCATGTTAGAGTGAATTATGGTCATGAAAGTACTTAATGTTAAGCTTTAGGGCCACTGGCAGTTTTTAGATGTGGTATTGAAGTGTTAGGATGAGGAACACCTTACAGTTTAGCTAATAACTTACACCTCTTTTTCCAACTCCAGAGCTAAATGCCAGTTGCTTGTTTGGCCTGTGTTCTTTTGGAGGATGACTAGTTAAGCTATTGCTTAACGGATAACCTGGTTCTTAGAACGGTTCTTTTTAGGCCCTGTTTCGATTGAGCTGAATAAGGGAGAAGGGAAGGTAGGGGAGACATTCACCCAGTTTGGATAGTTTTTTATGGGTGAAGAGTTTCTCCTAGTTCATCTTAGTTCGCCCTCAACAACACAAAAATTGTTCCCTCCAAATTGGGTGTAATGAAGGGGAAGGGAACTCCCTTAACTTTCCTTCTCTTCTCTTCCCTTGTTTCCCTTAACTTTCCTTACCCCCATTGAAATCCAAACATGCCCTTAGTAAACTTTGGTTACAGTTGTAGTTCTAGGCAAAATTTTACCAGCTTCTTTTTGTGCTCCACTATGAGCTTCAATGTCCACCCAAAAAAAAGTGTGTTCTTCCATCAATCATTCATTTTATTGATGGGATTCCCTGGAAGCAAGGCAAATATAGTTTGGAGCTTCAATTTCATTATAGCCAAATTCATTCATTTGGTTCATTGTATTAGGGTGCAACTGTGGCGCAAAACTCACTGCAGTGAAAACGTGGAACTGCAGTCGAAGCAAGTGCAGCACACGAGTATACAAGTCAAAAGGATATCTTGCAATAGCAAATATCACCTTATTGTTCGAAAACCAGTAGGGGTGATAATACCTAACAGCATAGTGCTGTGATCAGAAATATGTCATCCAAATACAAGCAATTTCTTTTTTCCTTTTAGCTAATGTCAAATCTTAACTCATTATGGTTACATTTAATAGTTACATTCCAGAATAATTTTTGTACATCATCTAATTTTATTGTACTTTATAAAAGTTTCCTCTTTTGACAAGAAGTTTCACAGCAACTGACTTCTGTTTGGTTGATGTGGTTAGGATGAGCTGCGAAATGCTGTCTTGCTTGTTTTCGCAAACAAACAGGATCTGCCAAATGCAATGAATGCTGCTGAAATTACCGATAAACTTGGTCTCCACTCCCTTCGCCAGCGACACTGGTACCGACTCTCGCTAATTATGTTTACTAATACTAATATTTTTGAGACTATTTAGATTAAGTTAATAATTTCTGTTTGATCATTGCATTAATCCTTATAGTGTTGAGTGACACTTGTACTGACTCTCACTAATTATGTTTACTAATACTGATATGTTTGAGACTATTTAGATAAGGTTTATAATTTCTGTTTGATCATTGCATTAATCCTTATAGAGAGAATGTTAGTGATGATGAATAGCTTGATATTTCAATGGGTGGTATACAACTTTTATCTATTTTTTATAATTTAATTGTTCAGATGCTGTATTTGATTAATGCAGTTTCCTTCAGCTTTATATTTGAAAGACAATGCACTACACATACGTGACTAAATATGAATCTATTACTTGGATACGTGGTTGTTGGATACATTGCAATAGTTGCCTCATACTCCTACGATGTATCCTAAAAGGCTAAAACTTATCTAATATGTACCAAAGATATACGGAAGATGTAGCAACACTAAGGAACTAAAACTTAATGTGTAAACCAGTGCTATCTTGGCTGCACTGAGGTGGGCGCCTCGAGCGCTTATGCGGGGCGCATTGCGTGAGGCATGCCCTCACTGCACCTTGGTGCGCCTCGCACCCGAATGTGCCTCAGTGCACATCACTATCCTGTCTCTAACTCTTTCTACTATATGTTCTTATTCCTCTTCTCTTACCTTCTCTTTTGCCTTTGTTTCTTCATTCATTTTCTCCTTTTCCCCCATATAATTGTCTACCCTACCATCTTTTCTTTCATTTTCCCCTTTTTTCTCTTCTGTCTTTACTACTTATATATCTGTAAAATTAGAACATTGATTAAGAAATCACAAACTATTATTCCAAATATTATGACATTAGTTATTAATAATGTTGGTAATTATGAATGTATGATTAGCAAATGTTCTTTTATATATTTCAACTTGATTAATTACTGAAAATATGAAAGGGTAAGGTTAACACTATTTTAACTAGTGCTAAAATTATGAACTAGGAGTCTAGGACTCTATTTTGTGATTTGAGAGGTGCAATTCTTATCTTGGCATATTTTTTCCTACAAAAAATCATAAACATGTTGCTTTTTTAATTTGATATATGTATCAAATAATTTTGTTTGTGGTATGTGCCTCGCTTCACTGAGGCGCGCGCATCGCCTTGCGCATGTAAGGGAATTTGCCCCTACATTGCGCCTTGTGCCTTGATAATATTGATGTAAACAATAGTTTCATAGATTTCTCATTTTTTATGTCAGATATATTTATATAAACTAGTATGGTGTATGTGTACGTGCATTGCACGTGGATGTCTTTGTTTTGCAGCAAAAAGTTAAATTTAAAGTAAAGTGTCATCAAAAGGTTTTGAGTGTTTATATATAATATCACATAAACTTAAAAGTAAATGAGTAGGAATGGTTTAGTGATGCGGATCCGGATGATCAATTACGGTTCGTTATTAATGATTTTTTAGGCCAAGCACAGATAGAATTGCAGTTAGATGGATGCATATTTTAATTAACATTAATCTACCGATCCATTGATCGTTTGGAATGGTGATAAACAAATATTGAGTTAGTTTGCCTTTGAGGTAAAAACTTCTATATACATGAATAAACGAATGTTGATTATATTGTGGTGGTGGTGTTTGTTGTTTTTATTATTATTATTATTATTATTATTATTATTATTCTGTTTATTTATTTTTTAAGGTTCACGGGTCGATTGGCCTTAGTCGTTTTAATTATTATTTTTTAGTTTGAGCTGGTTTAGCTTTAGCTTGGGCTAACCTTTATATTTTTTAATTGTCTGTTTAATATTTGACTACTTTCTCGTCTCGGCCATATTGGATGCTTTTTTTATCAACGTTTGTTTTCTATTTATTTACTAACAGTTTTTCATTCTAAATGGGCACAGCCCATATTTTTTTGTCTATTTATGTTTATAGACCTTTCTATATTAGTCCCCTAATTCTTTCATATTTTGAAATTAGCACCAAAATCTTTGAGATTGTTTTTATATCTCACACGTTTAAGTTATTATGAAATTATACTCCCTTGAATCATTGAAATTGCTATTAGAGTGTTTAAAAGTTTTTAGAGTTTCCTACTAATCTATACGTTCATAAAGCTTCTTTTTGCAAAATGATGACTACTATCTGCTTTTGCTTGAGAATTTATGAAATAGTATTTAAAAGTTTGTTTCATATTTTGACATCAAGGAGTATAACCGGTTTCACACAATTGGTGAAATACAAAATTATTTCACAGAAATTGAAATAATCAAGCATATTTGGATGAAAAATACACATCTCAAAGTATGAGGCTATGATCTTTATTTTCTCTCTCCGAACTTTTACCCTGATGACGGTATGAAGAATGGACTGATTCGTGGACATCACTACGTCTGTCGACGTCTTAATTATAATTGACATTGTCTACGTAAGTCTTTTGATATGTGCTGGCATTGAATTGGCTCCCATATTTTTTTGTCTATTTATGTTTATAGACCTTTCTATATTAGTCCCCTAATTCTTTCATATTTTGAAATTAGCACCAAAATCTTTGAGATTGTTTTTATATCTCACACGTTTAAGTTATTATGAAATTATACTCCCTTGAATCATTGAAATTGCTATTAGAGTGTTTAAAAGTTTTTAGAGTTTCCTACTAATCTATACGTTCATAAAGCTTCTTTTTGCAAAATGATGACTACTATCTGCTTTTGCTTGAGAATTTATGAAATAGTATTTAAAAGTTTGTTTCATATTTTGACATCAAGGAGTATAACCGGTTTCACACAATTGGTGAAATACAAAATTATTTCACAGAAATTGAAATAATCAAGCATATTTGGATGAAAAATACACATCTCAAAGTATGAGGCTATGATCTTTATTTTCTCTCTCCGAACTTTTACCCTGATGACGGTATGAAGAATGGACTGATTCGTGGACATCACTACGTCTGTCGACGTCTTAATTATAATTGACATTGTCTACGTAAGTCTTTTGATATGTGCTGGCATTGAATTGGCTCAGTTGAAGACGGCTTTGAGGTTCTGGACAGCGTAGTTGAAGACGATCATGAAGATTTGGACGGGTAAGTAAGTAGGTGGTGGTCTTGGTAGTGATATCGAGGTCATGGCAGATTGAATATTGGCGGCCTTGATCATGGATGTGGGTGCTAGTGACGTCTAAGGAGGTTTTGGTTTGGAATTTAATCTCCTTGTTGTTGCTGAGGACTTAATTTGTTTGGAATGGTAGAATAATATATGGAGGAGATAAAAATGAGGGGTAAGGTTGAAAAAAATTAGATGTATGAATGGATTCAGGTTGAAGGTAGTAGTGGTAATGTCAAAGAAGACTTGG